TCAGTTTTAGTAGATATTTAGATATTGTTGATATTAAAAAGTAAAGAATAGCTATGTCACGTTTAAGAATGTCTTCTCATCGTCTAGAAATAGAGGTGGGTAGATGGAGAAAACACCACAGTGTACCTTTAATTGATAGAGTCTGTGTAGCATGTAATCAATTAGAGGACGAGTTACATTTTGTCATAATATGTCCTATTTATCAGGAACTCCGAACAAGATTTTTAAAGAAATATTACTAGAGGTTTCCTAACATGTTTAAATTTGTTCAGTTGATTACAAGCGATAATGCACATGATATTAGAAATTTAGCTATGTTTATATACCATGCCTTCCATATTAGACAACAGTTACAAACAATTCTCGTGTAAAGGTACAAAAATGATTAATTTACAGTTCTATATATATGTTTTATACAAATATCTAGCCCCATGCAAACGTACATAGAAATAAATTGACATATTGTATTGTACTTCTATATGTGTAATTTACGAATATTAGCTGTCATGTAATTATATATAGATGTATTATTGATACATTGCAATTCTTTGTGTATTTTATGTAACTATAATAGGTTAAGTAACACGATGATTATAAAGGCTATAAATTTGTAAGTTTCAAATCATACACTGGTCTTACTTGTACCAAGTTTGAAGCATTATATGCGTTCAAAGGTATAGTTTAGATGTAACATTTGTTTTGTTTTGTTTGTATAATTTCAATATTTTGTGCTATATTACTATTGCAATAAATCAAAACCTTATAGCTAAGATTAGTAAATGTAATACAAAGACCAGTGTATGGAAGTGAATTTAAAGTATACTATGTAATAGATGCGGACAATGACTCTCCCGTGATTGCAAGTGTTATACATACACGAAGTATTTCTTATTATTATATATTTAAATGTAGAATCTCTCAAAAAGTAAATAACTTGTAAATTAAATATATAATCAATGGTAACCATTAATAATAAAAGAAAAGAAATACTTGCAGTAACGTCATCTTGCTATGTAATTAGTTATTTATTTTTGCATACATATAATTGTATATTTCATGAATGCTTGTACATGACACTTTTGAGAGTTAATTTGCAAAATAAAGATTCTTCTTCTTCGTTTTCTATATAATGCGGTTATTATGCATTGTTGAGTACAATACTGAATTATATTGGAAAATAACACAGCTGTAAAAAAACTATATTTGGCGATGCGCTAGCCGAGTGATATAGATTTTGCAGATGTGTTCGAGTCAAATAGAATCAACCATGTTTAATAACCTCTCTAACCAATATTTTTTGACAATTTGACACAACTTTGTTACTTTAATAACATAAGAATTTTATATGGATTTTTACGACTTAAAAAGATAACGAGGCTAAATGCAGTATGATATGTATTTCATAAGAATAATTTTGGACTCTGAAAATATAATTGAGGCTATATGGTGTGTGATGTGGACTTTAATATGGATTTGATAAGACACTTTTGGTATCTGAAAATAAAAACGAAGCTAAATTAATATCACCGGGCCCAATAATTATTTCTATTGGAACTTACTTGGTGCAATTGCTGATATTTTTAGGGACTGGAAACTTAAACAAAATACTAGATATAGTACAATATGGATTTCATATTGATTTTTGATCTAGGAAAAATGAAAACGAGGTTAGACGGATTGTAATGTGCAATTTGATACGATTGATTCACTCTGGATATCAAAAAGAGGCTAAAATATTAAAATAATTTATGTTAGATCATCACCTTTGTTTGTTTTGTTGTTGCTTTTTTATACCTGTCGTATACTTTTTTCAAGATCTATTACTGAGTCCACATCATCACATCACATAGTTTTTATTTAATTCGAGGTGAAATTCTATTATATAAAGGACTTGTAAATAAATCAGTCATGTTGAATTTTCAGTTCTGACTTTATTATTGTCACAGTATTCTACGTCTTCATCGATTTTATTCGTTTTAATTACAAAATTTTAAAATCAGCAAATATTTAATCGACAATACTTTGGACAATATTGATTAATGTTTTTTTTTTCTATGTCTAAACTGTCACTTTTCTTTTTGTTCTTGTTTTCCTTTCTTTCTTTAATTTATTGTTTTGATAATCAAACTCAAAATCAGCAAAAATTTTAATCGAAAATACTGTGTACAATATTGCCTAATGGTGTAATATTCCTTTATTTTATGTATGACTGTTTTTTCCCCTGTTTGTATTATCTTTATTATACAATGTATCTTAAAGGGAAATAAATCGTACTAATCTGTAAGCGCTTTTGTTTTTGATGATTATGTCCCATGCTGATAATCAGCTTATCTCTAAATAGAACAGACTACTGTAATAATTTTCCAGTAGACTTACATTATAAGAAATGACAAATAAACCAACCTTAAAATTCAGGATTCCTGTTAAAGGTGTGAAGTTTTTAGAAGAATGACATGCCTGACACATTAAATTGATCTTGTTATATAGGGTTGAACGATCAATTTTTTCGCAAAAATGTCCCCAAAGGTGATTACCCAACTTTTCACTGAAATTTTGTACTGATCACAGGACTTACATATATTTTTTAAATGCAAATATCCAAATGAGAAATGATGCTGGACACTTATGAAACAGTTCATTTTCTTTAAAAAATGCAATGTTAGTTTCTAAAATAATTTTTATCCTTATAACAATACATTTTCGTCCATTCACCTGATACATATTACCTTTTTAGTGAATAATTCTATTACATCTAAATCAGTTCCAAATGAACTGAAATGTGCTAAAGTCAAACCATTATTCAAAACGAATAACAGATCTGATGTATCCAACTATAGACCTGTCAGTATTTTATCTTTTGTTTCAAATTTTTTAGAAAGAACTGTATATAATCAGTTACAAACATTTTAAGGTAAGCAGGGACTATTATATGAATTACAAAGTGGTTTTAGATGTAATTATTCTACTGACTCCTGCCTAATCCATCTCACTGACCATGTAAAAAGTCAAACTTCCAAAGGACTGCTCACCGGTATGATTATGTTAGATTTGCAAAAGGCGTTTGACACTGTGGACCATGACATCTTGTGTAGAAAGTTACAAAAAATGGGTGTGGAGTCAGTAGAATGGTTTCAATCTTATTTAACTGGTCGTAGTCAAATTGTAAATGTAAATAATACTATGTCTGAAGCTATGAATATTACATGTGGTGTTCCTCAGGGAAGTATATTGGGTCCTCTATTGTTTCTATGTTATGTCAATGATATGAGTATTAGTATTAGCAAAAAATGTAAGCTTATTCTTTATGCAGATGATAGTGCAGTTTTATATTCACATAAAGATCCAGATGTTATTTGTAATGTTTTGGGTAAGGACTAGAAAATTGTAGTAAATGGCTTGTTGATAATAAGCTATCATTACATCTTGGTAAAACAGAATGTATTGTTTTTAGTTCTAAGAGGAAATTGTCAAAACTAGAGCAGTTTAAAATACACTGTAATAATCACACCATACAATCTCAGCCATCAGTAAAGTATCTCGGTTCTATCTTGGATAATGATCTCTCAGCCACTTCTATTGTTGATAATATAGTACAAAAAGTAAACTCTCGATTAAAATTTTTGTATAGACAAGGCAACAGTTTGAATATGGAGCTAAGAAAACTATTATGTAACTCTTTAATACAGTGTCACTTCGATTATGCCAGCTGATCTTGGTATAGTGGCCTTACTAAACAACTTAAACATAAACTTCAAGTAGCACAAAACAAAGTTGTTCGTTATATTCATGGTTATTCCTCTAGAAAATCATTGAAAGTTATTGATTTTAGCAGTATTGGGTGGCTTAATATAGAAAATAGAGTCATACAGTTAAGACTCAATCATGTACACAAAATATTTAATAAACAGTGTCCTTCTTATATGTATGATAACTTTTCTTTAAAGTCTGATGTTCATTGTTATAATAGTAGAAACAGTGTAGGGAACTTTCATATACCCCATGTTAATAGTTTTATAAAAAGTGCATTTTTTTACCAGGGTATTAGGGATTGGAACATGCTTCCACTTGATATTAAAAAGGAAAGTAACCTTTTTAACTTCAAAAAGAAAGTAAAAGCTGAACTAAGCAAAAATATGAAACAATTTGAATAAGCTGATTTTATTTTTTATTAGTTTTAGAGATAATTGTTTTAATCAATATAGTATGTTATATATAAATGTATCTTGTGATTGGTTTTGTGATATATATAAATAGATATCTTTCATTGGTATGATAACTAGTCATATTCATAGTATTATTCCTGCAAATATGTGATATATGTAATTAACATAATAGAAATTAATATTATTTGATCTTAGAAATTTAACATCAGTCTAGTATATCATCTTTAAGTATGGACCTGAATGCCAGTTCTCAAGAAAATATATTCTTTACCACCAAAGGACCCCATTGTAAATAAGTTCTCTATTTTATATTGAACTTTCATGGGTTATCCTGTGTTGTATATATTGTCTTGAAGTCAACAAGATCTTTGATTTAATTATGAATGTAAAGTTATTATTTTTCAATTAATTACTGTGTTAAAAACAATGTGATAGATATATCTGTGATAAATTGTCTTAATTTGTTTTGTAATATGACATATATATATATACACAAATAAATCAATCAAAAAAAATGTCCCATTGAAACTTTTTGCAGCCAATCGCAGGCCATGTTACAATAGAGTAATCTCGCATCCAGACATTTTAAACATATCGGAAAAGGTGAGACAGGAAAAGTGTTCAATAGATGATAAATATATTAAAAGTGAGAGAAAAATATTGTGAATATGTAAGATTTATGTACTCGATATCGTTTGTAATGAACGTGCGCATTATTTTGTGAATAACTAGACGGTAACGCAAGGTAATCGACACGTGACCTCTACAATGACCGCATAATATCAAATCAAACCAAAAATAATTTATCAAAACGTACAAGATAATGCTTACACAAAGTACTTTATATTTGTTTAATGAATATAAATTTTCTTCTAAACGTGTTCTAAGGACAACATTAACACTTTGCATAAATACAAAAAATAAAGAAAAACATATGTATTAAGATAGAATTTCATTTTCCCAACTGATGTCAAAACCACTCTCTTTTCGTTCGTTCGTTCGTTCGTTCGTCCGTCCGTCTATCCGTTGTTCGTTCGTTCATTCAATCAATTAACCAAGCAACAATGTTTTCAACTAACTAGCAAACAAACAACCATTCAACAAAAAAGCCATGAATCAACTAATCACTCAATAAATCAATCAATCAATATATCAACGATTTATCAATCAATCAATAATCAATGCAGAATCTAACCTTTGTATCATAGTTTGACCTTTCTGTTGAAAATGTGTCAGGGTTAAATCGTATACATATACATGCACAGTGCGTTAACTGGAGTGCGGGTATTAGTTACCCGCACTCCAGAGCATGCCTATTGATTGGCTCATTTTTGCTGGGGTTTACATATTGTGACGGCAGAGAAAGGGAAAGCGACAGAAATGTCATATTCAGATGTTCGTTCATTGGTTCATTTTTGCCGGGGTTTCATATTGTGACAACAGGGAACGTGCTTTTATGTTTGACTATGATACAAAAGAGAAAGAACACCAAAACACTCGGCAATCTGATTAATACTCGGGGGCTACGCCCCCTCGTACAAATAAGATAGCCTCGTGTTTCGGTGCTCTTTCTATTACATATATAATGTATATGTCAAATGATCAATAATAACGTCAAACAATTAAATGAAATCAGTATAAACACAACCATTAATTATATATACTATGTATACAAACAATCAAAGATACTATGTATCCATTGCGTCAATTATTCACCTAAAACTGGATTTATTAAGCATTCAAGTTTTACTAAATATTTTTGCAATTTTCAGATCATTCCCTCACACCGTTTTTCCAAAATAATCGTTTTTAAATAAAAATAAAGAACGCTTTTTACTCAAATCGGGCTTATATTCGCAAAAATAATCATCGAAATTTAAGTTTATTCTGAGTATTTTTCTTTTTTATCCTCTGCACAGTTTTCCATTTTAAAGACTTACTATGATCTATGCAATAATTTCAAATTTAAGCTTTTTGACCTCAGTGGAGCTCCTTTAATAATAGAATATTAATCTCACTATGAGATGAGGAAATATATCTTAAAATTAACATTTTAATAGGATATTAAATTATAAAAACTGTATAAAAAGAAATGGAAAGATTCAGTAGATCTTTATGATGAAAGTAATTATCATTCCATTGGCTTCTTACACCAGCCCGGTGTCCAAGCGTTGCCAAAATATTTAGGATTTGCGGACGGGTTTGATTTTGGATATTTAGCTGGTATCATGTGTTGTTTGTATTCATTTATGCGTGTCAGAAGTTTCTGAACCATTTCCGGCATGTCGTCTGCAAGGTCGTTATACTCATTAGGGTTGTCTGCAAAAAAGCAAAGGAGTAAACATTAAAATATTATATAGATCTAAATGTATTGGAGCTTATGTTGTCTTCAATAAGCCTATGGGGTAGCAGCGACACGTTGTGGAAAGTCCATAATGGTTTGTCAACCATTGGCTTGGAATTAATCGCTATGACTAACACTTTCATGGTTTGATTACTATACATCTAAACTACAAATACTATAATAAGCAGTTACTTCACTTAGATGAGTGTCAAGTGTCAATGGGTCTAGAATAGAAGTCATCTTAATATCGTAAGGGGTCGAGAAGTCAATGGGTCTAAATGTCTCACTTGCACTTAGATCACATTTTATACCAGTCAGTTATAATCCAGTCAAACCCTACCCTCCAGGGAGTGTTGGATACAGCACGTAAAGGGGGGCTTCTAACCGTGCCACTTTCAACACTGTACATGTACCCAGTCAATGCTGGGATAACGTTGTGGCTCCCAAATCACGGGGAACGCAAACTCGAAGTATAGGGGAAATCATTTGAGAATTTACTACCTGGAAGCGCCTTCACCTAATATTTGACCATCAAAATGTCTCGTTATTTCGCAGGTTTTGCAGCCATATTTACAAATGAAGAATAATTGTCTTTTTACAATAGTTTATTATTTCATTTCGAGTAAAAGATTTCATCGAGAACTACAACCTTCGACACTGCACGGAGAAGAATCAGTGGTCTAAAGCGTTGCTTTTATTTGTTTTTAATCACTCGGGTGGCGTGAGTGCAAATCCCATACGAGCCATGATTTTTTTCTTGTGCATTTAATGTGTTTGTTTTTTTTGTTTTTTTCTTTACAAATTTATATACAAATAAACAAATAAAAAAAATTCATTGTCAAACCTTTTAAGTTAAATAATTTGTAATAAGATTCGTTCCCGGCTTTCAATCTTTCTTCAAAACTATATTTATCCTCCATCGCCTCCTCTGTGTACATTTCATCTGGTGGGTACCAGCCATTGTATAGTCCGGTGTTTCCCGCCAATAATTTGTAATCGCCAATTCTGTGGTTTTTCAAAATGACATCAAAGTAAAAAACGAAGACTTGAATAGTATAAGTAAAGTAAGATTTCTATCTATATCAATGATTTCTGGAATGTTTTGTGGAATTTCTCTATCACATTTGAAAAGCGCATTCGTTCTTCATAAATATTTCTTGAAAAGAAGAAAAATCAGTAACCTCAAGTTTGAAAAGTGTGGTTTCTTATTACACGAAAATACGAAAGAGAGCAAAAAGGATAACCTGTCTATATGAAATAAACTAATACGCTACCTTATCCCAGCGTGCCCTTGGGTTGCAGGAACTACGTCATCAAGGTTGTAGATAAATTCCGTCCGCTTACCCTCAGACCCGGTACTTATTGCCTCCCACTGTGATATGCCGTCAATATTCTGGTCTGATAATTATTAATAAGTATTCATGTTAATTTGTGATATTGATAATAATTCGTACTTATCAATGTTTTATTGATAATAATTCGTAATATTGATAAAGATTCGTAATAATGTAAATAATTTGTAATAAATTATCAATGTCATATGACATGTATGAATAAGAAAGAAATATTGATAATAATATGTAATAGTGAAAATAATTCGCAATAGTGATATTGGTCATATTTCGAATTGATATTCAAAATGATATTATTTTTCACAGTATATAAACGATTTGAACCCCAACCGGATCTTGTGAGAAGATTTTAGTGTCAGCCATATTCTGCCACTTCACTTGTTTACGATATTGGTATTTATATTGATACTGATGGACGTTAGGTTAGTAAATCTATATTTATATTATAAGAGAGAAACTTTATTAAACGTCTAAGTTATGCAAAACATAAACGTTAGCACGAAGGCTATAAAATAATCGAAACTCACGAACAGCTTTCAGGTGATCAAAACTGAACACGAACAAAAATCCGTCTTATTCCAAGGTTGATTTAGTTAAACATTGAGTTGTGATATTGAACTACTAAAGTAATCAATAACAAACGAAAATTTAGTCATATGCATAACATATTGCTGTATCTTGAACATAAATTTAAGAGTTTTACCGAGGAGGTTTTTTCCGTAAACTGAACGTTACTTGCTGGTGATTGTGAACCCTACTTGTGAGTTTACGAATTTTATCTGTACCCTGACTTGTGAGTATTTATAAAGATTTATTGGAGAAAACCTTTACGTTCATTGTGATTTTGTATCAATTATTGCCAGAAAATATAAATGATTGTAATAGAATTTTAGTATATAAGGTATTTACCGAGAATTGGTTTAATTAACTGATAATATTGTTAATCATTTGTGTAATAAAATATATAGTGCTATGTATATTCATGGAAGAATACAACTGTTCAGTAATGACGAAGAATTTCAATGCCATTATTGACCGCATAATTATTCGCCATCCAGACTGCAACTTGAAAATAAGAATAAATAATGATCAGAATAAAATTTCCTACTTAAAAAAATTCAGCGTCACAGCCAATAACGTAAACAAAAAAAAAAGAAGTTTATAACATCAATAGCTAAACACTGACAAATAAAATTTCAAAAATTCACGAATTTTCACCAGTAGTATATGCGTCACTTGAACGTCACGACTGCCCCT